ATGTTTCTATCTCTCTCTCCCCCTCTCCTTTCCTCTCTCTGAAATCAATAAAGATATATTTAAAAAAAATAAAAAAATAGCACACCGTTTCTCTCTCTATCATCACAAAGTCAAAAGAAACTTTTTGGTTTGGCTCTTCAACACATTCTAGCAACAAATCCCTCTCTGGACCCAAATTCCATTCTCATTGCTTTGGACACAAACCCTCTGCCTCACATATGCAGCACCCTCCACACCCCCAAAACAAGCAACCATTACAGTGTACTCTCCTCTTCCCTCTCCTGAGACTAGCATAATGGGTTAAGCACATACGCCCTGGAGTTGGACAAAACCAGTATTCTCAGCTGCAAAGTAACCAGTTATGTGACCCTGGGCAATAACAGTTAATAACTAAGCTTCAGTATCTTCCTTCATCTATCAAGTTGTATCTAAGGGCAAAATGAGATATAATGCATCTAAAGGGCTTAGCAAAGTGTACAGCACATATGTGTTCAATTACAGTAGCTATAATTAGCAACACTGAAATTATCACCTGACTTATAAAGGGCTGCATGAGAAAACTTTCTGGCTGATGGAATTGTTCCGTATCTTGATTGCGGTAGTGATTTCAAAACTCACTGGATGTGGGGTGGAGGGGATAAAAGGAGGGGAGACATCTATAATACTCTCAACAATAAAGATAAAATAAAAATAAAAGGCTGTATTCTGCTATGTGTAAATTACACCTCAATAGCCTGATTTTCAAATAATTACTTGTTATCCACAGTCATGCTCCTCCTTAACTTCAAGACCTAAAGCTTACCTTTTATAGTAACTCTTTCTTGAATGAATCTAATCCTCACCCATGCTGTTTTTTTTTCTTTCTTGCTTTCTGAAGGTCATCAACTCTGTGATGTCTACCCATCTCTATCATATACATTCCACTGTTTCCAGTGGCGTGGCTAAAATTTTCAGTGCCTAGGGCATATTCTCTGAGACCTCGATTCCAGGCATATATTTTACCCTGGGAAGTCGACAAAGCTGGTCTTCACACTCTGTCAGAACAATACAGCAAAGTGCTCCATAGATAAAGGTAACGCCACCCACCGCACAAATATTTCTTTTCCTGGACAATCTCACTAGCAAAGCAATAACTGACGAAATGAAAATGAATGCTGCATTCTGAGTCTGATGTGGCAAAGAGTAGAGCCAAAGTCAGGTCCTCCAAACTGGTCTTATTTTAGGAACATGATACTCCATCTCTGTTACTGCTGGACAAGCAAGCCGGGGTGAACCCTAAGCTTGGGCAGGGACATTGGGGCATGGTGAGTCATCTCACAAACGCACCCCTAACAGCGCACAGCTTTTCAGGATGCTTCTCTCTTAACAAACACATTTCTAGGAATGAAACAAAATATACCCTTGCTTAGCACAACCCTCCACTCCAAAGGCAGTGGTGACTTAATAATGTCACAACGTAGCGATCAGGATACAGATGCTCTGAACGGCTAAGTAGGTCACTGCCTTTGCGGGGCAGATGTGAGAACTGGTTGCCAGACGACAAAACACATAACCCTGGGCTGTTTGTGTTCCGTTTATACAAGACCTAACTCACGCATCGCATGGGCAACCTCTGCTGTTTACAGCTTCACTCTAAGGATGTATTAGGAGGCCCTGAGGAATTCCCCTGAGCTATTTCCACTTCAGAACTTTAAATAACCTGTGCACATGGTAACCCGAGCCTGACGGACAGTCCTGCACCCAGCCTGGCAGAGGGGCTGTAAAACATGCCCGTCTTCGTGGAGCCTGTGCCTGGGGCACGCTCGGCGCCTGGGATGTGGCGATGCGAACATGTGTGTATCAGCACCCTGCGACCTTCTCCTGCTTAGGGCGCCCCGAGGACGAGCCGTCACTCGGTGTGCTGGCTGGACAGGTTTCCCCACACTCCACCCCGTCCTCTCCAAATCCCACCGACCGAACACGCGTCCCCCCAACACCGGCTCCGCGCCAGCGCCTCCGCCCGCGGTCCCCAGGACCTGCCATCGCCCTGCAAACTCTCCCCGTGACGCGCGGGCACGGCCGCCTCT